GTTTTCGTTGAGAGCCAGGCCAGCGCTGCGTGACTGAGAAGCCGAAGGAGAGGAGCAAGAGGTGCTTCAGTACTGCCCCGGCAAATTTGAAACAACGTCCCACTCTTTGAGCATAATGCAGGATCATGCATATGCAGCATCACAGGAGACGGAATCATCGTCGCTAAGAAAGCGCAAAAGGGAATCAAAAAGGCAACGTGACCGGCGAATTTTTGTTTAGTGTATATAATCCAGAGGTGGAAAAATTAGCTACTGAAGAATTCTACTCAAGTAAAAGTACCTTTACTTTGATGAAATTCTACTTAAGTACAAGTAAAGCTACCCATCTAAAAATCTACTCAAGTGAAAGTAAAAAGTAGTTTGTTTAAAGTGTACTTATAGTAGAAGTTAGTTACTTCCAACAACTTGATGGGGATCACTACTATGCAGTGCAAAAATGGGACAGGGGGCATAAATCCAATCCGAAAATTTTTCTATGATGAACCATAGAATTCAATTGAGTTTAGGGCTCCACAATATCATTAGAGCATTACCATCGCACTGTGTTCTTGTGCAATAGTCACAATGTGAGACTTGCAGTATAAGTTCATCATGTCAATATAATATTAGTCAAAGGCAATATGCCATACTTATTTTGCTGGTTAATACTTTAGGTTGTGAAGTTCTCAATTTCCATGACAGTTTGATTGTAAAATGTATATTTCATGCAAATGCAGCCTTTCCAAATCTCAAATGATGACTTCTTTCCAAATAGAGCTATTCGAGTTATTGCAATACACTGTATATTGCAATACATATCGCAGTATACAAAATCCTCGCATTGTCAGTTTTGTCTAATATTGCGCAGCCCTCATTCATTTTGATACACAACTGTTAGACTGATGATACACAGAGCGACTTTTTGAGCAATACTGTTGGGCATTATTCTCAGGGATGCCAACAGGTCTATTGTCAAAAAAGAGAGAGCTTGTCGAAGCGAAATTCTGAATATTAAAATACACTAACACTGATTTGGAAGAATACTGTGTATTCCAATATAATGATGACTTATATTGTTTACACGATGGCATGTAATTTCTGTCTCTACATGGTCGCACCTTTACAAACCTTCTCTGCTCTCTGTATAGCGCAAGGCGGAGTTCGGCCCCGATGCGCGCGCACACACACACTTGTGAGCACACAAGCGCGCGGCTCGGGCCGCATTTTTCTGACGACAGTTATAAACGGCACTGTGCACACGGGGTTTTCTTTCGTTTCGTTCGTTTCTTCGTTCATTTCAACTGCTGCGTCTGCTTGTGCTTCTGCCGAAGCACTCCCACCCTCCTCCATCTCTCTCTCCAGTAACTCGCCGGCACCGGCCGCTTGTTCTGGGTCAATTCCACGCGAGATTTCCGAGATTCACCCTTTTGGTTTCCATTTAGCCGAAAACTTTTTTTTTTTTTTTTT